CTAACCAACACAACTGATTTATATACATTCTATGACTCCTAAACGCCAATCACCAAAGACCACACAAACTACTCCTAACAACCACCATCACCACCGCCTCTGACCACAAAACAGGCCATCCCAAACCAACATGACCTCCTTAGATAACCCTAACTTGCATCAACAATACACCTGGAAACTACAAGGTACTACCATCCGCTAACAAGCCTCTACCGCAACTCCCACAATACCTTCCTTCAAGTGGACCTACAGCCATTACTCCATACTCGTCACAAAGTAGACAGCCAACCTCTGCGGCCGCATAATATTAGCATGATAATGTATTTAAGGTTGACTAAAAGAAAAGCTGGGAAAAAGTGACCTCACAGGCGGAGCTACGCGTGCCCAGACCATGATGCCCAGCCGGGGTAACTGTTTCTTCAAGTTTTTGTCCGCTGACTTCGCTTCGGCCATCAGCTGGTCGGTGTTCAAAATGGATGTTTTCTTGCGTGTCTACCACCCTCCTCTTCCTACCCCCCTCCCCCTTACCCCACCCCCCCCTTTTCCTCACCAGCTGATCCCTCCCTACTCCTCACCTCGACGACTTCTTATTGTGATTTTAAGATCTTTGACCCCGGGTACGTAAAAAGTTAGGATGTGTGTGTGTGTGTGTGTGTGTAGTGGTACCCCTGGCGGGTGGTGGTGGTGTGTGGATCAGTGCCTACAGCGACCTCAAGTGTAGGTTCTTATCCCTCAAGCGGTGGTCTGCCTATGTGGTGTTTTGACCTGCTCCTGCCGCTACCTTGCTCGTAATTATTTTTTACCCAGAAGTACTTAGTGATGAATTCTCGTCTCGCTCACAGTCTAAAGAGATAATTACGTCAAAAGAAAAAGATGAAGAGACACAGGCGAGTAAAAACACTCAGAGAAATGGTTTATCAGGTATTTGTAAACAAAGCCAACTTACCCAGAATCCTTCATTATAGAAAGTAAGGAACAACGTGATTAAGTACTATTTATCCTTCACATGCCACACTTTCTCCCGACCTCGGCAAGAGAAACAAAGTGAACCGGTGTGTGGATTATGAAGAAAAAATAAATAGTGGGTTATGAGAGGTGTGGTGTTGGGAGGACGTGTGGAATTCCCTTGCAAGAGTTGAGGTGTTGTCGGGGAGGGCGTTGACGGAGAGTTCCTTCGCCCTCTCAACAGATACGGGCGCTGATGGCTACCGAACCGTCTATGGCTTGAACGATAAGCTTCCTGGATTTCAGCGATACACCTAATTGAGTTTTTTTTTTTTAGTGGAGTTTTATTTTTGGTATATTCCTTTAATTTACATACAAATAACGCCTGATAATTTGGAGGGGTAAAATTGACTGGTATAGAATGTACCTTTTGATTTCAGTGCCAATAAATGGTTTTATTAGACTCTTAGCTCAATTCTTGTTAGTTTTATTGGGATTTATATTCAAAGCGGGGTGTGTTAAAAGGAGAATACTAAACATTACTTATACTTTTCAGTGACTTTACTGCTTGTCGTGTTTAATTGTACCTTCTTCTTTTTGCACACTTAATTTACATACCAGTCGAGCTCAGAAAGAACAAATTAAGATATTATATAATTAACTAAGAAGTAAAAATTAACCTCTTAGTAAACGCTATAACACAACACAACACAACACAACACAACGCAACACAACACAACACGTTCACAAATTTTCCACGGTCGGGCGAAAAAGCAAAACCAAAAAAAACAAAAAAACAATCTGACTAAAACGGAGGCTGTTTAAACTTGAGGAAAATTTCATAATTATTGAATTAAATAACCCTCATTATCTTTATTACTAACCCTCTCCTGTATCTCTCTCCCAGTGTCTTGGTACCTCACAAGACGTTCAACTCCAGACGTTTATTGCTGTGCTAATTGATTTATTGCACGACCTTCCATCTTCTATATTTTTTTTGGTCTCTCTCTACCTTTATGGGCCTAAGGATAGTGTAGTAGCGGGAGGATAGTGTAGTAGAGGGAGGATAGTGTAGTAGCGGGAGGATAGTGTAGTAGCGGGAGTATAGTATAGTAGCGGGAAGATAGTGTAGTAGCGGGAGGATAGTAGTAGAGGAGGGAGTATAGTATAGTCGGAGGATAGTGTAGTAGAGGTAGGTGTAGTAGTAGTAGCGGGAGGATAGTAGTAGTCGGGAGGATGCGTACCAGCTTCTTGTGTCCTAATTAAGCATTGTGAGCGACCTAATCACTAGTCTACTATAACCTCCTGCTTTTTACGACCTTCTCTCCACAACTATTAATGTCTTCCTCAAGTAATATACAGCATTTATATATATATATATATATATATATATATATATATATATATATATATATATATATATATATATATACATTCTCCCCCATCCCCCCCCTCGGAGTACACCTTTAGGATGGTACAGTATAGAACTGTTCAGGAATACATTAGATTTTTAATACATCACCGGGGCAATTTGGGCTTCCTTATAATGGGGGTACAGGGAATATCATATGCATAATATTATATAACCTAAGACACTTCCTCAGGGTTTATGGCCAGTGTGTGACGGTGGTGCCAAGGTGGGTGGGTGGGTAGGTAAGTTCTTCTTGTATTCCTTCATTTTATTTCTCAGTGAATGCAAAAAAAATATATATATCCCAACAGAAAGATTTAATTCACCATAAAGTTCACCAATAGTGTTGACAGCCACCACAAAAAAAAAATATAAATATATATATATCGATACAACAAAATGAAACTGCTATTTAAAACTACATATGACTTCCTTGTATTATTATTACTATTACTGTTTCTATTAGATGTTTTACCACAATACAACTATATCGCGCACCAATAACAATATCGTCCTTTACTATTATTACAAAAAAATAATAATCACGTAAAATACAAAATACAACAGAGAAGAATTTAAAGTCTATTGAAGAAATCTCCTCACACAAACTCTACTTTTTTTTCTTAACTTTAAATAAAATCCAAGTCTTATGATTTTGCTCTGAGTTCAGTATCATTATGTTGCATTATTCTTCGTCGACCTCAGGCATAAATGACTCACTATTCTCAGGGTAATTATAGCACGTATAATTCCACGTAGATTAGGGTACGCTTGTGTTCGTATGTATGTACGAGTATGTTGCAAGTATACTATTACTTATATACTCGTGAGTCGATATATGTAGCTAGGTAATAGACTAATGGTATACTACCTTTTATAACATTAGCTATAACAAACTTGTCCCTTTTTTATTTATGTAGGATTCTGTTTACACGTTCACAAGCGATTATGACGTAATAGTTTCATTTAGGTGACGTCATAATTATACGATACGCCAATCTACGCCCCACCAAAAAATCACGCAAAAAATATCTTGTTCTTATTATAATTTTGGAATACTTATTAATACGGTATGGTAGTGGTTGACTGATGTATTGACCATCGAATGAATTAGTCAGTATGATGTAATATTACGAATAAACTGAGAATTTGGGTGAACTGGTATATGCACGGTAAAAATATAGCAATACATTCAGTCTACATTACTAAGCTGAATTAAATAAGCGTACAAGTAAGAGTAGAGGATAAATAAGCTTAATTGGTGTAAAAGTATCAAAGTAGTGAGGTTACAGTCGATCATTTCAGTCCCCATAAACACATCGGTATGAGTATCTCCATTTTTCCGGTCTCTTACTTCACCCCTACAGCTGATGGTTCAAAGGCAGGTAACACAAGATTTATCCTGATATTAAAAATCTAACAACTAGGAGAAAAAGTAACTGGTGATGTAGAGGCTATAACTTCTTGTATCGTATTACTTTTTTTCTGAAAATATACGTCAAGCAAAATGTCCTACGTTGCTATCTTTTGTGTCATCCAGGTAACTTGTGTAAATGATAAGAGATCTTCTAGTGATACAAACGTGCTTCAGTAGGCGTTGGTTTTATTCTGGAGAAGTGATTAAGGTAAACTAAAACATGTGGGTCTTGTGGTGTTGTCTTCACGTTCTCTTACCTTCATCTATCCCCATTAAAGGAGCCATTAAATGAGTTGTAAAGTTACTTTACATACGGCTCGTAAATCATCATAATTGGAGGAAATTACCTGATGCCAGTTTTCCGGTTAAGGTCGTTACTTAACCGCCTATGATCCTCATTACTTACAATTAGTAATGATCATTACCATCTACAGTCATTACTGCAGACAGCGGTCATTTCTTGCTCCTTGTCAACAAAGTATATTCAGGACATTAATTTAATCTAAATATGGCTGTTGACTTAACCTGGATTCAAATCATTCATTACATTTAAATATATTGCTCAACATATAATAGCTACTAATCTTGCTAATTATGATTTTGCTAATGCCATAAATGACCATCCTGAGTCACCATTACAACAATTCACCATTAGCGGAACCACCACCCTATGTCATCAAGAGGTGACCGCCGACCCTCACACACATACGACCCATCACCGCAGTGTCTGAGGACGTCGTCATGTGCAGGCCAGGCCACCCTTGTCACCTCCGGCGGAAATTCCAAGTTACACCAGAAAACCGAGACGGGACGACGAGGGTAGACGACCAAATACGCTGTTTTTATTGTAAGGCAGTAGGAGCCGCCTGAAGGAGAGGTTACGTCCCCCCCATGTTACCGAGCAAGAAAAACAAGCAATAGCAACTTTGAGCTATAAACCGACACCATTTTTGGCATGGAAAAAAAAGAAAGAAAGAAAGAACATGAGCCTTTGATTCTCTACCGACGATTCTCTAACTTTGTGAACAAAAAATTATATAATCGATGAAAAAACTGCTCTCCTTCTTTGTCTTGTTCAGCCACAACAAAATTCACAAAAACGTCTCAACTGTCTGACTTTCCCCACAAACACAACTGTAAAACAATATCCCTATCTCTGCAGTGTACCTCGACGACCCTGTGTCCAAACATACGATAAATATAGAAAAAAAAAAGAGGGGTACTTACCTCGACGCCATTCCACATGTAGTGCATGGCATCGTGGTGGGGGTTGTTCATATGTTCAGCCATGACGCTCATCCAGTGCACTAGGCCCTGCGGTGCCGCCTGCTGGGACGTGGGCGGTGAGGACCCGCCCACGCCGCCCGCGACCCCCGCCCCCTTGTTGTGTGACCCCTCCCCACCTGGAGGCCACACCAGCGCCGCCTGCAGGAAAGACAAACACACTTTTAGTTCTAGAAAAACTTAGTCATAGCACATAAAATACATAGTGTACACACGTTCACGGCATAACATAATAAAAACATTACCATGTGTACAGATGCGTGTGAATTTGTTTTAATAATAAATACTAACAATGTATTAATGCACTACTAGCTTTATTGATGCATATTTATACAAGATTAAATTTTCACTCACGTGCATCAGTATATGCTGAAATATATTTGAGGCTGGAATTTGCATATATACTAAACCACTATTCACACAAGTACAATATATTTATAAATAATTAATTAAATATAATAAACAGATAAATAGTAAACACACACACACACACACACACACACACATATATATATATATATATATATATATATATATATATATATATATATATATATATATACATATATATACACTGTATATAAACACACACACACATGTGGGTATGTGCGCGATACTAAAAACTTTATACTAACATAGCAACAAAGGAATGTATCGAGTAAACATATTCAGGCCAACACACACAGCGAAATGAAAGATAATGCATCACGGCCTTGTGATATAGAAGCATGTATACAAGTTTTGGCACGAAATTATATACTAAATATATTACACCTGTCTACAAACTTTGTCATGGTGAGCAAAAACTCACAGATTAACATCGACGAGTAAGCTTACGGGATTATATATATATATATATATATATATATATATATATATATATATATATATATATATATATATATATATATATATATATATATATACAAACACTTCACGCCATCATATACAAATGTGCTTATTAAATAATTCACACCAGCACACATAATTAATTTATACTTGCAAAATTACACACACACACACACACACACACACACACACAGACCCTCACTTTCGATTCATTATGAGGTAAAATAAGAACACCGGGAGGGGATGCAAACAGCTGTGTATGTACGACTACTGAGCAGACACCGACAACACCAGACTGATGACAGAGGTCTTGGCTTTCTTGGATAACAGACGAATTAAAAATGGGGGAACGTAGTTGTTGAAGATGTGAATTTGGTCCACCCACTGTACCTATAACTATCTCCTGTCTAATTTATTCTCTAAGACATCACCTGTTTGACTATATGAACGAAAATATTCCACTAACTATCAACAAACTCTAACAAAATATACAAGTTGGTTAAATCATATATTTAGTATTAAAAATTATATTAATGAATATTTTTGCAAACTTAAAATCAACAACCAGTTAATCAGCCAAAAACTCAAATATTCTTTAAAACCTGTTAAACTGGACTTCTGGCAATACAAAAAAAAAGAAGGCACTTGAGAAATTAATTTGTAGCCGAAAGTACAGTCAAAGACACAGTACACACGCAGAGACCGATATACCTGGTTTTACTTAACCAGTCGACATTAACCTTCACTACATAACCTCAGTGTTGAATAGGTCCCTGCTGATTCCGACGGGTTGAATTGCCAGCCAGATTTAAGTGAAAGTTTATCATACGGGTTAAAAGTCTATCAACTAACCCGTAGAAAGAGACAGATAGTGTTATACCATCATACGCTCCTCAAAATACATTAAGTTGTATTAAAAAAATAAGTCAAGAGAAAAATAATTGTATGAAAATAAACTACGATAGAAATAAGTTGTATAATATAAGCTATGACATCAATAACTAGGAGAACCTTTCACCTGGTTGTAGATCTTCAGGTAATCTCCAGGTATCTCCAAGAACCCCGTAAGGGAAGATGCAATACAACACCGTAATCAACTTTTCAAGTCTCTTCATTAATAACAAAATGAATCTTCCAAAATTTCAAACGATTTTAAGACATTGTAGATTATTATTTGAAATTACTCTTCATAGAAATTTCCCCACGAATATTATAAATAGATGGAGAATTTAACTGTGAGAAAGGGATGAATTAGCACAGACCACCAATACTAGGTAATAGCTTCGTGGGCTGGATAACATGTTAATACCGGCTATAGTCTGTCCACCGCTGGTATGCGACAAGTCAACACCCCTCGTATATAAAAAACATTAACTAATTTATAAACCAAACAACAATACAAGAGAGAGACATTATTATTATTATTAACTCTATTAACGATACATATTTTAATTATCGTAATATTAATAAATACAATGTTTTGAGTTTTATAAAATTGACTAAGTTTCCATTTTTGGTGTAAATTTACAGAATTAGAGACATAACACCATCTATAAATTATACAAAATGAAGCTAAATACACTCTAAGCAACTCTAGACAATGTGTTATACTCAGTGAAGTTAGTAAGTCAACCTCTGCTAAAAATAACTGGTAGAAAATAGCAGTAGAGCATCTAGTGTGTAATCTAGTAAAGGTCGGCTTCCTAAAACTGCTGGGTGTAAATAAGTTAATCTTAATATTCACGCCTAAACAGGATAGCGTGTTGGGTGGGTGTGTGGTCCAGAGGTGAATTCATTATCTCAGTATTTGGGGCTTAAGATAAATGGAAGTAAAAATGTGTCCAATGAACACGAATGACTCAACTAAAGGTGAAAGCGATCCTGATGGTAAAAATTTTAAACAGCATGAGTAACTATTGTTTAACATCAGCAGACAGACAGACAGACAGACAGACAGCACAAAATAATGCATAACAGATTTCATTCATTACATATAGTTATCATAATACACAAAACACATATATACTCTACACATGTTTCTTTACACCACTTATTTTTTACATATCCACCACAGGAGACAACACCAAAATATAGAAATCTTGCCAGAATAGAAAACAAAATAACTTAATGGTTCATAATTACTATATACAAAGTAGTTAAAAAAAAAAGTAGCTAAACTATTAATTACTGTAAAGTTTCACAAAAGTACCAAACATAATAAAAAAAAGTAAGACCAATTTTAAAAGTCTTCCCTAGTTAAAAAAAACTGAGGATTAAAATTTCCGACAGTTTCATTGAGTTACTTTGAGGAGCATTATTTTGACGCCAAACCTGCCGATCAAAACCAATAGTCCAAATGGATGATAAATATTTACTAGACAGACTATAAAAAATAAGAGTGTTTTCCAATATACTGTTTTTTAGTGATTAAAGATATAAGCATATGAGGACTTGGTCGATTTGGCTTACTGTTTACCTTTTTACGCGCCCTGTCTATGAACATTGTTTATATACCTGAACTATCTATGTACAAGCTGAATCAGTGTGCACTTATATGACGATTGAATATCTATCTATCTAACTATCTATCTATCTCTCTATTTATCTATCTATCTATCTAGGGAAACACAGTAATGCCGCAATCAGTGGTTACAATAGCTAGATTGAAAAACCACGGTACAACCTTATTTTGTTTGGAGTTTCAATGATGCTCTGAAATACACGAGACACATAGCTGATGAAGCCGAGTTATTGATACATGAATGTGGAGCTGAGTTACTGATCTATGTATTTATGAAGCCAAAATTATTGATATGTGGAGCTAAACTTACTGCTATATGAAGCCAATTTATTGATATACGAAGCCAATTTACTGATATGTGAAGCCAATTTACTGATATGTGAAGCCAATTTACTGATATATGCATGAAGCCAAGTTACTGATATCATATGTTAAGGAAGAAATGACTCCAACATTTCCTTGTATATAATTACGAATACATCCACAAGATGCTGCCGCTGCTCAACTCAACTTCCAAATATAACAAGTATATGATCCCGTCTGAATATTTGTCTCGAGTTAACCAGCTTCCAGAGAGAACTCTTTTTTTTTTTTAATATACTTAAGGTTACTCCATTAACTCCATAATACTGTAACCACAATGATAATAACTGTACCTGTAACCTCAAAACTGTATTGGTATTATTATTTGATTATATCCGAATGGGAATATTTATATCGTGTTAATATATTGTTGTATAAGACATTGTATATTCATTTGTATTATTATGGTTATCACAGGATATCAAAACTCATGAGGAGACGCTTTGCTACGACATCAACACGGTAGCAACATGAGACGCGGGGCCACAGTGAGTCGCAGGTTAAACATATATGGTCTGGGTTACCTCGTCTTGGTCTGGTTTATCTATCTTTACCTAGACCGCTGCCTCACCCAAGATCTCCCTGACACCTCGACACTCGCCACTGACTTGATCCCTATCAGAGTAGTCAGGTCACCGAGGTTAGGATTAGGTCACAAGAGTGGATTGTTGTTTCTGTTGGATAAATATTCCCATCTGTGACAGGTGGTATCACTGGCAGATGGTTGGGAGTAGAAAGGTTGAATGTTTGAGGGTGGAAAGGAAAGAGTGAAATGTGGTTGATGGAGTAGAAAGGTCAGATGGGGTTGTGTTTGGTAAAGTTGAAGATGGAGTGTTGTAATTGATGCTGGGAAATGGAGAGCTGGGCGTCGCGAGTGTATGGGGCTGAAGGATTAGTCGAGATTATATAAAAAAAAGGAGTGAGTAATGGAGGTAGGAGAGGGGTTAGAATGATGGAGAGAGATAGAATGTAGAGGCAGAATGAGGGGCGAGGGAATGGTGGACTGGGAGAGAAGGAGGAAAGGTAGAAATACGATTAAGGGTGAGAGAGGGAAGGCAGAGAGATGTAAAATGTGTTTGATGGGTGAGAAAGAGAATGGAGGTGGATGTAAAGAGGAAAAACAAAATAGTGGGGAAAGATGGTGAGAGAAGATAGAATGGAAAGAGAGAAGGAGGGCGAGGCGACGGGGTGGAGTAAACGAAGGGTGGAAGGGGTGGATGGAGGGAGTGGTGGAAGGGGTGGATGGAGGGAGTGGTGGAAGGAGTAGGTGGGGTGGTAGTGGTGGTGGCAACGACTGGACATCATGTAAAAGGAACTGGTACCCCGGTCAGCAGCTTCCGAGCAGGATACCAGACTTTCTACTCTGCTGCTGAGCTTCGCCACTATGCCCAGGGTGTGTGTGTGTGTG